CTATTCTGTGCCCAGGGCTTCTGAGAGCAATAAGCGCAGAAGCCCTGGGTACGAGGTTGCATTTAGAACATTCTACAACAATTTTTGGGCTGCCTATGGTACAATGCCACAACCAACACCTTTTCTGTAGAGCCCAGAGGAGGAGTGGTCACTATACCACAATGCATCACTTTCATTAATATTCGGAATTGAATTTTGCGAGTCTTTGAAAGATGTTTGTCGAAAAATTGTGGTTGTTTATCGCGATTTTTCACTCTGAAAATTTTGATTTTTGGAAGGTACGTTTTTATAATTGTTTTATTTGTGACCTTAATTGCACGATTTTTGTTTTATGTGGTTGTCGTATCATGTTTCAGTTATGTTAATCACGCATTGAATTACCCTTGGTTTCGGGTCAGTGCACATGTCACAAAAGTGGCTTTGATATTCGCCGGGGATTAAATGCTTTTTAAATCAGGAAATTCAACAACATTTACAGCATCGAATGCAGGAAGGGTTATTCTTTCTATTGATACTTCAAAACACAAAAAATCCCCTCGAACTGACGAGTTATCGCGGTTTGAAAATGGGGTATATTTCGGTGCTATAAAAGAAATGGCATTGATATACGCCAGGGGTTAAACAGTTTATAAATCGGGAAATTCAGCAAAATTCACATCATTGAATTCGGAAAGGTCAAGGTTTTAGCTGATACTTTAAAACATTAACAATCTCCTCCAACCGACGAGTTATCGCTGTTTGAAAATGGGGTATATTTCGGGTATAGTGCACATGACACGAAAACGGCTTTTATATACGCAGGGGGCTAAATGGTTTATAAATCGGGAAATTCAATAAAATTCACATTATTGTATTCAGTAAGGGTTACTCTTTCTCTTGGTACTTTAAAACATAAAAAGGCCCCTGAAACCGACGAGTAATCGTTGTTTGAAAATGGGGTATTTTGCTTTTGCTGTTGCCAATCGCGGGAAAAGAGGACTCTACAGGAAATATGGCGCGAGCGCGACGTAAACAAGCCAGCTTTTCTAACATATTGTTCCTGATTGTATCATTTGTTTTTATAGAATTCGAGTTTATTGGAGCAAAAAATGGAATCTATTAATGATGGCGATGTTGTTATTGTTGATCATGATTTAGAAAATGAGGAACTCAAATGACTGATATGCCAGAAAAACCAACAAGAAAAACCTGAAGACTATATCTCGTGTGGAAAGTTCATTCAGTCAAGCTTTGGTTAGGTCAGGTTAGGTTCATATAATGGGCCATTCCATTTAATATAGGCACCCCCCCCCCCTATTGAGGGGTCCCTTCATAATCCCCTTAGGATATAAACATTTTAGAACCCCCTTGGATGTGATTAGTGGAAGTTACCCCATGGATATCTTCATATACTCCCTTTAGGATATCACTAAACACCTAATTTTTGTTATTTTTTGGAAAATTTCTTAAGCTACCCTCTAGGAAAATTTAAGGTAAAAACCACCTCCCCCCTAGGATATTCAGACCCCTCAATAGGGAGGGGGGTGCCTATATTAAATGGAATGGCCCATTCAAAGTCCTGGCACATCAGCAAAGGTATAATAAAAACAATTATGGCAGACAAAATTGTACTTAAAACTTTGTTATTCTTTGCTATTCTATTCTTTAAATTGTCTTTGTATACAGGGATGGATCCAGCATGATCTGGTGGGGGGGGGGGGTGCTCTGGTGCCGAGTTGTGTCGGTCATGTGTGCCACCCGCCCATCAACTACTGTATTTGGATTGTAATTGTTGTTCACAGTTCATTTATCATCATGTTATTACTCAAATTACTGTATCTCATTTTGTCTTTTTTGCTTTATCATGAAAAATAGCCCCCCGCCTGCACCCCCTCTGGCCAGGGCTAGGGGGGGGGGGTTCACCCACCCCCCCAGTAAATCCATCCCTGTTTGTATATTCAGTGTAACACCTCTGTGTAACATTATTCTGCAGTGTATAAACATTATTCATGTATGATTATTCATATGTCATCTGTGACTCAATTTCCATTTTAGTAAATGACATACTTTTTTGTAGTTTCCTAGCAGAAAGATCAGGCTGACTCCTTCAAAGAAGTCACCAGTGAAAAAACATAAATGGACCTTTGAGGAAAATAAAAGCTTTGATCTAGTTATGGAAAAATTTTGTCCGTAATAAAATATAATAACAAGAATTTACAATATCCTAGTAATCTATGTCACTGTTATAATCGTAGGGATCCATAATAAAATAAAATAACAACAATTTACAATATACTTCTTGTGTGTGTTGGTGTTATGTATTAAGGTGAAATGATGTTTGTGATGTTACTCTGAGTGTGCATCCACACTGAGCCGAGCTCAGTTGGTAGAGGATTGGACTAATATCCCAAAGATTGCAGGTTCGATTCCCACCGTGGTCAGGCAAACTTTTCAGCTTGCCCGATGTTCATGCACACTCAGAATAACATCACAAACATCAATTTACAATGTAGGGATCCATAATAAAATAAATATGTAGGGTTCCATAATAAAATAAAATAATTTACAATATTCTAGTAATCTATATGTCACTGTTATAATTGTTTCTTGGATCATCTCTGTCCCATGGTCCACTTTTCACAATCAACAATGCTGTACTGTAGAGTAATATCCACCAAGCACACATAATTTATTGGTTGTAGATCACAGTTACATCCAGTTTGCCTGTGTAAATTTATTGGTTGTAGATCACAGTTACATCCAGTTTGCCCTTGTAAATTTTTGGTTGTAGATCACAGTTACATCCAGTTTGCCCTTGTAAATGTATTGGTTGTAGATCACAGTTACATCCAGTTTGCCCTTGTAAATTTATTGGTGACAGCACACTGTCCAACTCTTCATTAACAGTATCTGGATCTCGAGGTTGAATTGTTTGAGGTGGGGATGGCAGAATATCGAAATCCCACAAAATAACATTCTCAAAGATAAGAGATTGTCCTGTTCCATCTTGCCCGAGATCACTGAAGTCAGAGAACTGCAACATATGAAAACAATATTCAGTTTAACAAAGTACAATATTAAAGCAGGGTGCATGCAGGGACAGTGTGACTCAATGGGTTAACTAGACACATGGGCATATAGGCCAGCTGCCATTAGACAGAGTAAAACAATCTGGCATGAGACAGAGTAAAATAATAAATGTGCAATTAATGTGACTCATGCAATTCAATGGATAATAATAAAATAAATTACTTTAATAGTAATAAAATACCAAAGTAATCAAACCTCTATGATCAAACCAAATGAACAGTCTATAAAGCTTCTCTAAATTAAACTATTTTACCTCTATATGCATATATTCAAAATGGAAAGCACAAATATTGTTACCAACATTGGCTATAAAAATCTGAATCATAGTAAAAGCATTGTGTAGGTACATTGCCTTTGTATTCGCTTTAACGATTAAAGCAAACGACTTACCCTAAAAGCACAACTGGAATGTATCTCTATCAATGCTGGGCTATTGCAATCGGCGAATATTTCATCAACTTTTAGAGACAAATAGACAATTAAAATAGCGATTCTTCTGATATGCAAACTATCCAAAAAACCGATTGAATTTCACGGCATTCAAAACTGAACACACGATAACTCATAGGAACCAACAGCGTAGGCTCTGACGATACACAATGAACAAAAAGAAGATTGTGTCCTTCCAAAACTGAAGCTTTATGGTGGTGGTCAGCTTTACAAAATCCGCCATATTTCTCACTCTTGTTGTTTTGATAGTGAAGGTCAAGCGAACAATGAGCGCCCGCTTGTGGAAAATCAATAATATATAATTAATTGGAATAATCGCAATGCATCACGGTATAGTGACCACTCCTCCTCTGGATAAAATTAATAAAAATGAAGATATAGCCATTTCAGAAATTGCAGAAGCTCTAATTTTCTCGGGGGATGAACCCCTGAGCTACCCTACGACACAATGTATTTTTAAGGACTGCCTGAACACAGCATACCTCATTCTCTGTTGAATTTTAGGGAAGGTGGCATGTATATTGACAGTTTCCAGAACACACAAAAGAATGGGATGGGAGGAGCCATCATACCATATTCTTTTCCAATTGTTCTTTTCAATCCACAACTTACATGTTGCCTTCCCCAAGACAGAGTACCTACTAGATATAATTATAATACAACCTGAATTTAAAATATGGGTGTGCAGGGGGATGGAAAATGTTCAATTTGTTGCTTCTATAGAGGAAGTACTAAATTTTCTAACACATATGAATGGGGGGGCATTAATTTTTATTATGCTGTTTGAATTTTAGAAATCACCTTCCCCACCCCACCCCTATAAATAATAAACCTTCCCTTAATTATTAAAACACTGTTTATTGAATGTTTCAAAAGCCATGCATTATGCAAAATGCAGGTGTTGTTGGTGAAGAAGTTATGGTTATGGTCATCTATCAATTATTCAATTAAAGATGAAATGGTTGAATATCTACAGATGAGTATAATTGATTACATACTATTATTCAATTACTATATAAAATGAATAATATATGTCCAGTTTGTGAAAATGATATCGATGGTGCGCATGTATGTTGTGATTGCAAGCAAGCTGTCCATTTATTTATCTGTGGAGATCCTGTTCCGAATTCTGATGAAGGTTATTGTCAGCCTGTCCATGGGCATACCGGAAGGAAAAAATTAGGGGGGCGGAACGAAATTTGGACCAGTGCGGAAAATTTTTTTTCCCGGAACAATTAATTTTGGCGAACTCCCCACCCCCCGCCAAAAAAAGTTCAGTCAGTGTACCATTTTAGGGGTCCAAAAATTTTTCAGACATACCAAAATTTTTCGGAACATCAAACAAATTTTCCAAACATCGCAAAATTGACATCATTTCCCGCAAAAATGACAGAATTTGTCCGATTTATTTTTATAATAACCCAATATTGCCCAACTGTGAAGCGAATATTGCCCAACTGGCTTTGTTTTCCCAAAAAACTGGAGTTATTATTAAGAGAAAATTTATTGCTTTGACTACTTTTTTGGCTTTTTAATTTCCCCCTCTTCGCCCGACTTATGTTTAACATTTGCCCGACTTTTTGACTTTGTAATCTTTGGGGGGGGGG